CAGAAACCAATTTATGCAAAAGAAGGCAGATCCAAAGAGGAAAACATCCTACTGTCATCCTTCACCACTAAAGTTGAAGAACAAAAGATCCAAGAAGTTCTATAAAAAGTAATTGTCAATGTACAAAGAAGGAAAACCTGATAAAAAATAATAAAAAAAACGTTTAAAATGTCATTTTTTGTTCTCATTAAAGAATATGAAAATAAAAGTTCTAAATCCTAATTAAGTATTACACTAGTAATTAAAGTATGAAATTAAAATGGAAGTGACTCAATGGAATGTCATCACCTAGCCACAATTAATAGGCAAAACAACAGAAATAAGTCAGAAGAACCAACAGGCTGATGTAAGACTGACCCCTAAATTTATAAAAAAAAAAACCACTGGAGATCCCTAAGAAGAAGCAGTTAAAGTGTGAAATGTACAGAACCTATCAGATCTCCAAAGGTACATGAGCAGTGTCTATACAAAAATGATTGAACAGAAATATGAACAAAGGTATATGTAATGTCTATTATTAATCTAAAAAATCTAGATGGATTACTTACTGAAACTTTTAAAACTTTTCATCTTGAAGCAAGGGAAAAAAATATATTTTCTAATTATTTGCAAGTAATAAATTAAGGAAATCCAACTTCTAATTTGGAATTGCACCAAACAAAAAGGAATGAAACTCAACTGTTTCTTATACATTTGTCCCCCAGTGGTTCAGCAGTAAGTTTGCAGGATTATGACACTAAAAACCAGGTTTCAATATCTGTGATGGACAGAGCACAGATAGCCCATAGTGTAGCTTTGTGCTTAACTACAACCAAACCACAACTTAAAAATGTAAATGTCCTTGAACAAGAGAGTATATCTTTTTTTGTCTAAAAGAAATGCAACATAGACAATCTAGCAGAATAAGACAAAAACAAATCCTACTTGACAGATGAGGAAGTAAAGAAGCTTTTTAAGGACCTATGACACCTGATGTGAAGGATATCCACATACAAGTGAAAAGTTGAAGCAATATGTCTACAGGTTCAAGACTGAAATAGAATGACCTGTTCATGATCAAAGAAGGATTATAATAAACAATTAAGCTCCTCCAGGGAAAACAAAAGACTAAGAAAACATCCAAATACAAACTGGAAAAGCAAAGTCTTCAAAGTAGTAACTGACAAGAAGTCAAAAAGATATTTTAAATATTAAAAAATACCTACCAAAAAAAAATGTCTTAAAGTAAAAGAGGAAGTATCTAGTTTCTGGCAGTAGTTTTTAAGAAATAATATATGGTCATTTAATATCTCCTTAGTCATGAGGAACACAATAATCAAGTAAGAGGAAACTACAAATAAGCTAGCTATGCTGCTAAAGTAAAGAACAATCATGACATCCAATTGTTGAAAAATTTCTTAAGATGATAGAAAAAAATAAAAAGACTACAACAAAGAAATGAAGACAGATGATTGTGATAACAAAACTATTACAATATGGTGAATACAAAAGAATATAATTCTGGAAAAATTAAAACTCCCAAGAGGAAGTCTGTCATTTCAGAAAAAAATAAATCATAATAATAAGTAAACTGCTGTAGGATATTAAAAAATAATTCCACTGCACATCAAAAAACATGAACTGACGTAGTAGGTATTAAAAGATTCCCTTACTTATTCACAAAAGAAATATGTGTATTTTCTTATAGCAAAACCACATCACAGGCTATCTGCTGTGTTCACCGAGGTGAATCAAACCCCTGATATTAGTATTGTAAATCCAAAGACTTACCTCTGTCCCATCAAGGGACTCACAAAATAAATCATACTACTTGATAATGACAGAGGAAAGATGAAATCTGGAAAAGGAGAATGTCCCATAGTTGAAGTGGATGTAGGCTCTAAGTAAGTTACATATCAAACAGTGAACAAAATTTTTCTTTTCTAACTTCAAGGAAAGTTTGACACCTAAAACTTCTACAGTTAAAACCTTCATTTATAAAAAGACAGAGGATTTGGGACTTACAAGTCTACTGGCATAACTGAAATCCTGTCATTTCATCCTTAGTAACCAATGCAGCAAGAACTGAGATTTACAGAATACATTTTGGTTGAATAATGTAAGCAGAGTTGTGAGTTAATATCCTACTTCTCCAGCAAAAATTTCAAACTTTGAACACAATATACTACTAAAAATTTCTACGATAGAAAATAGTGAAAGAATTTTGGAGAAATGGAGGAGTTATTCCTCTTAACTCATTATCTCAACTTTCCAAAGGATAACTGCAATCAAGAGAAACCTAGTTGTAGTAAAAGAATACAATTCCAGTATGCTCAGATCAAAGAAGGTGGGATTTGGCTTTGGGTACAACCACAGCACTTCCATGTATGAATCGCAGTACATTAAAAGTCTATGATGACAAAATATCAAATGAAAATTCTAGATGACAGACAGTACAAAATCAAGCCAAAATGAAGAGATATGTTGAAAACAGCTATCAAAGTGAGAGTAACATTCAAAGCATTTAAAAGATGTGGCAGTCACTGCAGACTTAGATCAATAGCTTTTGTCTATCCAGAGGTATGTTATCATAGTATAAAATAAAGTTTTAGAATGTTCAGGCCATAGTTATGTAGCTCCTAGACCCCCTACTATGCCTGTCATATCCCACCAACCAGCCTGATGAGCCCTGGTACTGGTTGAAAGGCCTCTTCAGCACTGAATATGACAAAATGTACTCTCATGTTCCAAATAATTGTACCTTTATGATTATTAATTTTGGAGAAATTTTCCACCATTCACAATGCTTATTGGACCCTGCATGATTTTTTGTTGTCATCTTTAAGAAAAAACACAAAAATCTATTTCATAGTATGATTTCAACCTGTACAATCATTAAATTTGAGGTCAGAATTTTTCCAACCTGCACTATTATTTGGAACACAAGAGTAATGTGGTTGACATATTATAACATATTTTCTTTTGCTTTCACTCATGACTTCTTAGAATTAGTAAACATTCATGACCAGTAAACTTACGAAAAGCTGAGATTTAATGTAATGAAATTAAAATTTTAATTCCTATATGACACACATATATATATATCTTAGGTACAAAAACTAAATTCAGAAATACTCTAAAAATATTACTGTTGTTAAAAAACAAATCAAATTTAAGGTAGTTTCTGCTACATGGAAGTAAGAACTACATGGATTGTAAATATATAGTACTGTATGTACAAAATTAAAGATATTTCTATGTATCATATATGAAAACTATAAACTCTTATAAGACTCGTATATATTGTACGGTTAAAAGCAAAATACATAATTTTTATTATATTACATGAAACCTATATAATATTGTAATGCATACACACATAATGCAAGGATAAACTCTTATAAGACTCGTATATATTGTAAGGTTAAAAGCAAAATTCATAATGTCTATTATATTACACGAAACCTATATAATATTGCATACACATACTGTAAGGATAAAATCAAACAACATACTACTTAATACAGTTTCCTAAACAAACATGTAAAAAAGTAAAGTAGCACAGGCTTTAAATACAAGTACAAATACTTATTATATTACCTCTTAAAACTTGTTAACTTATAAAACTTAAGTATACTATAGCTTCTTAAGTATGTGCCATGTATACACATTCACTCAGTTATAAGCTAATATGTTTATACCTCAGTGCATAAATGTATATACTTGTATAATGGTATGAAAATGTTTAACTCTTCTGTACTCTTGTTTCATACTCAGTGATAATTGAAATTATCCATAAAATTAATTTTGTCTTCCTTAAGAGAAATTTAAAGGTAAAATATTTCTGGTAGATTAAAAACTACATTTATGTAGTACACTGAGAGTAAAATATAATGTTTGTACTCTAAAAGTAGAATAATATCTTGTTTGTGTCTGCATTAGTTATTCACTTTTTTTTTCCTCAGAGAAATATAAAGGTAAAATTTATTCCTACGAAATGAACACTAAGCACCATACTGACAAAAGATACTTAAACACTAATACTTTGTGAAGAAGACCCCAAACCTTTGCATCTTCACTCAGTCTTTCAACAGAAAATAAAATATTGAAAGCAGGTGAAGTTTTATCAATATCTATGACAAATAGATAACAATTATACATGAACAGAGACAGATGTCTCGCATCCTAGTTCACACATGTATGACTTTTAAAGGAACATATATAACGGTCATCATTTTGATTCAGAATAATAACTGTATTCAAAAAGTTTAACAAACCAATCATGCTCTACCTGGTAATATCATTAAAATGTTTAATTCTATTAAAATTTACAAATACTTGAATATTAATATTTTAACTTATAAACATAATTCAGTATTAACAAGTTTTTCTTTAAAATCCCTTACAAAATGAATAAGCAAAATAAATTGGTGAAGTTTAACAAGTTTTAAACCTAAAAGTTATTTCAAGTGTATTAAAAACAAAATGTTTACATAAATACTGATGCAGGGTTAAAATTCAACATTCCTAAGTAACGTGGCTTCATCCAAAGCATTTGTAGATAATGAAATGTAGAAAAAAAATAAGTCACAATTTCTATGTTATATGATATGTATTGTACAGATAATTTTTCAAAAGACATTATAAAGGAGGCTTGCATTAAAGTAGCCAATTGATACTATGATGCTTTGACTGTGTTTACAAATAGTTTTATCAGTATTATAATGAAGAAATAAAAGGAAAAGATGGTTTCTTGAAGAACTTAAGTATTTTCTAATGGGAATTTAGTATAAAAAGAACGTTGAAAAGTAACAATACAGGCTATCCATATTAAATAAAACAAGATAATTGATTAGGCATATTTCAAAATATATTAAAATTTTCTTTTGTTTGGTGGAACAAATTAAAGAAAACTAACAATTCACTAATGTAGTTTTAGAAAATAGTAACAAATTTTTGATATACTACATAAGAAAATAAAACCTGAAGTACCTTGTAAGAGATGTAATATTAACTTTGAACAACAAACAATAAAGCAGGTATGATGTTTAATTAATATATAACAGTAATAAAGCTATAGCAAATAGCTGCATAACATGTTTTAATACATAAAAGTTTATCAAATCTACATAAAGGCTATGTTTTAAATCACTTTGGCCGATTCTTTTGAACCATAAATTTCTTTTGTACATAAAAAAACATAAGTGGTAAATAGAAATAAGTAGTTGCATTGAATCAAAGAGAATGGTATTTTATCAGCTTGCCAACAGAAGGCTTCAGAATCTTGAAAAATTTTGTAAAACAAGTTGCATATTCAGCTAAAACAATCCTGGTTAAAACTAAATAAAACATAAAATATAACAATATGAAATTATTTGAAAAAAGAGGGTACATTAGATAAATACATGAAAACTTTGTAACTGCTTACTTGGCTTTATTCACCTTAATGTTTGAAGAAAGTTGAGAGCCACTGTTTAAGAACCTTAATTTTTCTTTTTGTTCATTCAGTTTTCTTATGTTTACATTGTATATTTAAACACTTTTTTCTTTAGTAGTTTCATGACCATTTCAATTTATGTTTTACACTTAATTGACAAAGTTAAACTTATATGTTACCTCAATGCATATTACTACTGAAATTGTTTAGACAACTTTAACATAGATTTTCTTAGTAAAATCACATTGTATGTTATTGCTCTCCACAAACTGGATTTTGTTTTTAACTATTTTTTTCAGTTTTCACCAAATAGATACACAATTATATATGTACATAGTGTATGGTAATAAGTTAGACTAATGAAAAAAAAAAACTGTTAAAAGTTTAAAAATTACATGTTCTAAAAGTGGCTTATTAGCAACCACAATAGTTTAACTTACCAACTGTCATGGCTACTTTTAAGAAAAAATTACAAATCTATCTAAAATGATTTTAATGTCTGATTTCTCAAATAACAGCTGCAGTATGAGAATGTAATCATTACTAAACCACTTAAACAAATAGGCAACAAAAAATATAGTTAATATTTAAACATATACTTCTTTTTAGTTCTACTTTTTCAGTAGTTATAATTTCTGACAACAACCATGGTATTTAGTTTTAATTAAGTCATATTACACTATATTAAATCTCACTATTATATTAAACTAGACTAATAAGTAAATCATAACTCATAATATTATGTTAAAAAGTAATCTAGGAAACTGATTTAAGCAATAAAATAATTCATACAAAACATCAAAAGCCTTAGTACTATGCACTGCAAGTTAGAGTACAAATTTTGTGTGTTGATTTAATAGAAATTTATCTTTAAAAAAAATATGTACTGACTCAATAATATACTTCTAAGAATAAGTAAGTAACCATGACAATTTTCATTCTCCTTTTAGATACACAAAGTATAGAAAAGTTTAGATTACTTGACAAAAGTTTAAATCAAAATCATAATTATATTGGTCCAGATTTATTAATGATATGATAGAGACAAAAAAAAAAAAGAAAGAAAGGCTGCTAGCTGTGTTCTCCTGTCTTTCATGCTACTAGTCCCATCCGTGTGACTTTTGCAGAGAGGAAAGTATGAAGAGTAAATATAAATGGTTTTGGACACTGCATCATGTCTAATTCCTGCAAGGAAAATATACAAGTTCATGTAAGTTTCATAGTTGAGTTCTTCAAACTGAAACAAAGACATTTAGAAACATCACTGACATTTAAGAAAGATAACAATATAAAGGGTAAGTGCAATTTTTTTGCCTGTTTCTGACCCGGAAAATTCAAAACTGTATAAATTAAAAAATACGTACTAACAAGTTTCCTGTAATACTTAAAATATGTCACTGAACAAAATACCAAGGCTAATTGTTGGACTTTCAATGGGTTTCTTTTGAAATGATAAATTACTTATGAAATCAAAACCTCATAATTTAGAAAAGCATTATGAAATGTATAAAAAAAAATATTTTCTTAGAAGTTTAATAACAGAATAGTTTGCTTTAGTTACCCATGCTAAACGTATAAAAGGAGATAAGTTATATTTACTTAATCATGATTTGAATAAGGGGAAGACCTACTTTCATCCTTACTCTCACTACATGATTTACATTTTTAATTATAAATATATTACATTTATGCTAAAAAAAATTAATCACTTCATGGCACTCTGTTGCCATCTTGAATCCAGACTAGAAACTGTCAACCAGTGCAATTTTAAATTCACATGCATCACATCTATCATTCAAACCTACTCTGCTGCTATTTTGTGTCCAGAATAGACAATATTAATCACTGGAATTCTTTGAAGTTTTGATGGTAAATACTTTCTATTCATAAAAACGTTACTTTATAAACACTTTAAAGATGGAAGATGTAAAAGTTCATATTTTAAAAACCATTACAAACACACAGAATTATGATTATGCAGCTATGTAAATAAGAGTCCTAAATATCTATTGTTATTAGAATTTTTTACGTTTTTGGATGAACAGAACCTAAGCCTTTCAAACTATTTTACCTGTTCTTTTAACAACAGCCTAAAAAAATGACAAGTTATACAGTTAAAGCCCAATTACTGTTCAAAACATCCATTTTCATTCACCAATAATGCCTCTCTGTCTTTGGACACAAATATACACAGATACACACTAACCCTCACAGAACCACAAAACAAAACAACAACAACAAATGATATTTCATGTAACTGGAAATTATCTTGATTATTTTTTAATGAACTAAAGTAGAATTGTTTCACTACACAGGTCTCAAAGTACAATTTAAAAAAAAAACGTAAACAATGTTTTTTAATTAAATTTTTATTCAAAAATCTAATGATCAAACTTAACACTATTATGTGTGAAGGAGTTTGAATGTCAACAAAACCTGTAAATAAAATATATATAAATTAAAATTTGCTGATTGCACAAGTATTCAGCCCCCGAAGTTAGTACTTGGTGGAAGCACCTTTGGTAGCAATTACTACTGTGAGTCTTTTTGGATACGTCTCTACCAGCTTTGAACAATGGGATGGTGTAATTTTTGTTCATTCCAGACTTCCTGGCAAAATTACTCTAATTCTGACAAGTTTGTTGAGGATCGTTGATAGACAGCAATCTTCAAGTCTCGCCATAAATTTTCCATTGGATTCAAGTCAGGACTTTGACTGGACCACTCCAGGACATTCATTTTTTTCTTCTGAAACCAATTCAGTGTGGCTTTCGCCTTGTGATTCGGGTCATTGTCCAGAGGAAATGTAAATCTTTGACTTAGTTTTAGATTATTGGCTGACTCAAGCAGGTTTTCCTCTAGGATTTTCTTGTACTTTGCACCATCCAATTTCCCCTCAATCCTGACAAGCTTCCCAGTCCTTACTGATGAGAAGCATCTTCATAACATGATGCTGCCACCACCATGCTTGACAGCTGGGATGGTGTTGACTGGATGATGTGCTGTGTTGCGCTTGTGCCAGACGTAACACTTTGAATTTAGACAAAAAGCTAAATTTTTTCTCGTCTGACTACAAAACCTTCTGCCACATGTCTGCAGTATTATTTACATGCTTTGTCACAAACTCCATATGAGATTTAAGATGATTCTTTTTCAGTAATGACTTCTTTTTTGCCACTCACCCACACAGGCCAGCTTTGTGTAGGGACCAGGATATTGTTGATATGCAAACACTGACTTCCATCTCAAACATGGAACTTTTCAAATCTTGCAAAGTCACTGTTGGCTTTACAGTGGCATCCCTAACCAGTTTCCTGCTTGTCTGGTTGCTTAGTTTGGAAGGGTGGCCTGATCTGGGTAGTGACTGGGTGGAATAAAGCACATTCCACTTTTTAATGGTGGACTTCACCATACTGAAAGGGATAATCAGTGACTTTGAAATTTTTTTGTACCCTTCTCCTGATCTGTGTTTCTCTATCACTTTATCCCCATCTTCTTTGGAAAGCTCCTTGGTTTTCATGGTTGGTTTTTGTATCACTATGTGAGTTGTGGCTTGAACAGATGCATTTACTCTGACATCAAGTTAAACCACTTTGATTACAAAAAAGACAGAGACCATTACACTATTTTTTGCGACTAAACTGACTTAGTGTATCAGCAGCAAAGGGATTGAATATTTATGCAATTGAGGATATTCTAATACTCAATGAAACACAACATCAGAATTTTTTTAGCTTCTTGAATTTGGAGAAGATTGTATAGATTCTAAGTATAAAGTCACATTTTAAAGTTTCATGATTGCGAGCTCAGATGTCAACAAAATGTGGAAACTTTCCAGGGGGGGTTAATACCTTTGCAAGGCACTGTACGCGATCACTATAATAAGGAAGTGATGCTATTAATTCACAAAAGATGCCAGCATGGTCATTAAATTAAAATCCAATGATTTATTTCTTATAATTAAAAAAGTTGTCTTACAACATACATGTGAAATGTTACCTTTTCTCCTTCATCACTTCCAAAATCCAACCACACTAACTGCGCTCCATCATCAGCAGACATCATTAGTTTTTCATAAGTATACTGCCATAATATTGTTTGTTGTCTCCCATCCAACAGCAAGAAACCATTTTCATAATGTAATACAATCTGACAATCATTTCCTTGATACACACATGCTAAAAACATAATATTTGCAAATGTTATTATTTCTTTTATTATACAATCCAACAATTATATTAAAATATTTAAGATATGTAAAAATTCTAATTGAAACTATACAAACTCTTTGACCAATATCTAGTAAGCTAACATACAATGAAACAAAAATTACCATTATTTATAACGAAAAGTCAGTTATATATGTCAGTTGAAAAAATTAATCCTCAAGAAATTACTTATGGTTTTTTCTTTTTTTTATTTCATATTTGGACTGAAGAACAGTATCAGACTATGCGATTTCATCTGAATGTAAATGAATGACTTTTTCCTTGGAACGATAGCAGTTACCTTTTCCTTGTATAATCAATAATAATGGAGGTTTTCTTCAAATATATATTTTTTGGGCCACATTGTATTTAAAACTATTCAAAGGCATCAACAGTAATTAAAACCAAAGTGACTGGAAGCCAGGTAGGATATACATGTTAACTAGCCACCTTACATTCATCTCTGTTCAAGTTGAAAAATAAACACAAGGCTAACACTGGAAATTATAGAATGAGAGGAAAACAATTAAAATTACTGATTAATTAACCTTTTGCCTTACAATACAGGCCATTTATCAACCTCATTCATTTTTTCTACTTGTTCTTATAATTTCTCTGTTAAATTCATTTGATATGTTTTATCCATGAAAATCATCTGTTTCAGTTGTGCAATAAAAATCAGCCAAAACATCTACTTTATTTATGGTACAGAAAAGTCAAATGATTCATAAAATAAATAAGGAAGATTGTGTTTGAGGCCCAAACTGTTAAATACCTAAAGTACCTCACTGAAATGCAATTCAGATTTTACTTCTACAGTCAGTTCTTGAATAAATAATTAACAAATAGACCAAATATATTCTTTACACCAGCACTTCCCAAGTGTCGGGTGTACCTCCCCAAGAGGCACATATGATCTGTTGGGAGGGTGCAAGTTATTAGGGTAGAGTTGATGCAAAATTGATCATTTTCCTGCATATCCATGTATTACATCTGTCACTGTCACGACATAAAAGACTGTTTGGTTTAAATATTAGTGATTAAGTTATATTTCTGAGTGAATGTTTTATTATTTTTAAGTTTTGTTATAATAAGAGTTAAAAGCAGACGATTACAGAGGTTTTGTTAATAACTAACTGGTGTCGAGAATATAGAGAGTGGCCAGACAACTATGTAATAAAGATATAAATAGCGTGAGATGGGCGAGAAGCAGCAGACAGAGTATTAGATAGATAAAAGCAAAGAGAATATAGTTGGTGTGAAGTTTAGTAACGTAAAAGTGATAGGCCTAATGTTTAATATATATTAGAGTGAAACTAACAGTGGAAAAGGAAATAAGAAAAAATAAGTTTATTCCGTCAAAGCCAAATTCTAAAGTAGTCAAATCAGCCTAAATGCACTTTGACAAAAGGAACACAGGGTCTCAGAAGAAAGAAGACCACAATCGTAAGTGAATCACACCAGGCTAATATTGCGATAGCATTAGACAAAATAGTTTGGCTTGTCAACTGAAATTCTAAAGCAATTGAACAGGCCTAAGTGGACTTTTGACAAGAAGGGAAGAACTATACACATACTGATATAATGTTTATGATATGCTTATTTTCTGTATAATGTGAAGACTTTATTGTACATACATTTAACATGTTCCAAATATATATATATATTATTCAAAACAAGTAAAGTATGTGCTGCTTATCATCATCGAATTTATCACTAACAAGTCACAGACACCTACTGTAGAAGAATCCTAAGCCCAACAACTACATAGTATATACTTATACTATTAAGAAATACAAGTAAAATCCATTTATTTTGTCAATTAGCAAACAAAAAAAAAGAAAAAAAAACAGAGCCCATATACAATATATAAGTTTGTAATCTGACAGTGATTTAACTCACTCTTTCACTCATTTAGAAAAAGAAGGGGTGTGTGGGTTACAAAAGTTTGGAAAATGCTACTTTACAATATCCTTCAAACAACATCTTAAAAGTAAAATAGTCACTAGTACTTTCAGCTCTTATTTGGTTTTATAACTGTTGAGCTATGTCTTGGAAAATACTCTTACACAAGCACATTCTCTATCACAATTGTAAACTTAATGTTTTGAATACTAACCATTCATTTCAGTCTCATTTCATATATGTTGAAATACTGATTTATGGCTTAGCTTATTTATTTTGAAAATAGCTAGCCTAGCAGATTATTTTCTCTGACGAGTATTCAGTTAATTAGTTGATAAATAGCTTAACTGTCAGTAATGGTTAAATGACAAATTTACAGTAATAACACAATGCAACTGACTTAAATAGAACAAAGTTTACTGGCTTGGGTTTTAATACAAAGATTAAATTCACACAGTCAGTCTAATAATCTCTTTCAATCTTAACTATTGTGTCAGTCACTTTCTTGATCTTTTTACACATTATTTATAAACTGAATTCACCTGATTTATGCAGTCTGGATTTAATATGAATACCAAACTATGAAAACTTAATAACCAAGAATGAGACTCATGCAACTAACTAAAATTCATGAGATGCCATAAAATACAGTACACACCCAACTATTAAAACCAAATGTGTATATAATTTTAACCCTAGTATTACCGAAGGGGTCCATAAGGATATCACAGACTTTTTGAATACATTTTTCTAAACAGTTTGTGCAACACATTTCTTTTTGGTCCTGTAATTTGTTGGTTACAGGATTCCTATGAACATGTAGAATCACACACACAAAATATTTAAATACCATCAATATTGCAATTAATCTACCTAATTACTATTCCATTTTACATAGAAAATGAGTGATTTCAATCTACTCTTGGTCAGTTCTTTACACTGAGTGTTGTAACAAGCAAAAACATAAAATTAGCCGCTGGTATAAAAACACATCAGTAATTTGAAGATTAAATTTTTAGAAAGACATTAAAAACTTCTGTTCTATAAAACTCTGAAAAGCATCAGAAATTCACCAAACCTGATAAAAAGAATACAACTACCAAAAACCAAATAAATTATAACAAAAAACATGAGTGGAAGAAAGACTGAAAACAGGGTTAATAAACCTCAGAAGTAAATCACAACTTTCTTAATGCCTATGACAATAAAAATCTTGAATACCTCATAAATAAGCATGAACAGTTCTGTCAAGGAAATAATGGAAAAAGTCATGTCTGTAAAGGTATGAGAGACATGAATAACTCAGAAATCTTCAGAAAGTTGCCATTTGCACATTTGTGAAAAACTTTTTTGTTAAAAAAAAATCACACAATTTTTATGGACATTTTCTACTTGCTGAATAAATCACTAATGTTGACTAAATATCACAATATGATCACAATTGTTTGGTTTCAGATATGCAGTAATCCAACACTGATATTCTGTAAATTAAATACATTGATAAATAAATAATGAAAACATTAAGGAGTAATAATGTTTTAATTTAAAATTGTCACAATTACAATTAATTAAACAGCCAAATAGACAATTTATTCATGTATGTTGTTTGAATAGGATAAACAAAATAACAATATTCAATAAAGATTTGAGTCATCACAATATTTTGCAATTGCTACTATACTCATTAAACTATCTGATTTGATGACAATTTATTTGGTGAATATAGAAAAACAAAACATGTTTACAAACAATGCAACACACTAAAACCATAATATATTTATTAAAAAATAAAAGCACTGTATTTAAACAAAAAACCAATCTCCACTCATGTGACTTCTTTGCTTTATACTTTATGTATATTCCAGTGTATAGGTAAACTACTTAAGTTTGATGATTACAAAACCTTCTCCAAACATTGTATATTTGTTACTGTGTTAAACTTTTAATAAAGTTTTCTTTGTTACCCATTCATACCATCTTTAAACTGTATACACTTATCTATGTTAAGATATCTGATGGCTTCTCACTGAAGACAATATTTGTAGCTTTCAAAACAAATATAATCTAACACACACAAATACTTTCACAATTCACAATGAAAGGAATGGTTATAGAAAATATTTAGAAAAATTCTTAAACCTATATATTTACTCAATAAATATGTCATAGTCTAATTCTTACTCTATCCAATCATATTTAAACTTTGTTTTCAAAGCTGTGTTTTATTAATAAGTGATCAAACCATTTCATGTGGCACCACATAGGTTTCAACGAAGGCCTGTGAAAAACTTAAGGAGACACTTGAAAATTAAGAAACTGATAATATATTATCAAGGGGTGATAGGGTCTAAGTAAAAATAAAGTTATTTGATAGGATGGGCAGAAAAATTGTAAAAAATCAACAAGGAGGTTGTTTTGTTAACAGACAAAATTCTTTCCAACTGTGCAGGAGAGTAAATATTAACTTTTTATTCTTCATAAATTATACTAAACAAGTTATATTAATATGACAAAATATTGATTCTAAAATGTTTTTGAGTTAAAATTGTTTACATGCTTAGAATTAACTTGTAAAATTACCTTCAAAATATGAAGTGAAAATATGTGAAAAACTAAAGAAGTCCTGTCTTCAGGTTCAATAATTTAGGAGTAAGTTATTTTTTTCATCCTAAACTTTTGTAAATGAAAGTGTATCATACATGGAACGTAGTACAAAACCTGTAACAACCCAAAAATAATATGGTTAATAGTATTCTGCAGGTTTCTTTGTACAAATTCCAACGAGACTATTGTACTAAAACTACTGAGTTTTTGTTGATAAAAATAAACATATTGCTACTTTATGAAACAATTGCTTATTTGGCAAATGTTTTATAATTTTCCTGTAGATTAGTAATAACTATGTCAAACTGAATATAATAGGAAAATATAGCATGCATTAGGTAACCAAATAAAACACTGAAGAATTTCAGTACCAACAGCAACAAGTGTTGGATGACCGAATAAAGCAATAAAGAATCTCAGATCAACAAGGATACACGTTTAATGAGAATGAGCCTCCAAGA